GGATATCCTATTGAAATTCTTGTACATATTTTGATAGAAACTGAATTATTTATAAATCCAATTATACATAATGTAAAGACTTATCCGGATGTACTCTTTTTCATATTGGGTTATTATTGGTCACCAAGATCCCTATTAATAACCCCAGTTTGTCTATCTGTTGTGTGTGATGAAAGGCTGGAAATTTTAATTGTGTTCTACACTTTTTTCATTGTATTTTCAATAGTAACGCTTAAATTTTATCTCTCTATTAGATGCAAATGTTTTAGGTAATCTATTGAGTTCAACCACTTGGATGCTATATAATTATGTTATATGAAATGCTACAATAATTTTTTAACATACAATGAGATGAACTATTGTGGAAAGTGATCAACCGCTAAACATGTAGAATACGTTTGTTAAACTTTTTTGTAATTCTAAATTAAACCCATATTAATACCCTTCCATGACATACAAGGAATATTTAAAGTTGTGTTCACGCTAATTTTATTTCTCTTTTTAACTTTCTGAAAAATTTCACTTTGTGAAACAATTCTTGCATGGTCCCTATTTTAGACTTTACCAATAATATCTATTTATTTGTCATAACTATAATTTTATAATTTTGAAGTTTTATTGTAGAACGACTATGCATGACAAGCAAGTCTCTTAAAGATGAATATGAAATCCATAAATGAGCTCTCTGCAAAAAAATGATCTTTAATCATAAAATTCTTATCAAGCACACTAGTCTTTGTTTAAGTCGTGATATATTTCATTGATTAAGTCATGATATATTATATTGAAATCCTTGCAATTGCCATAATTTTCCTTAATGTGAGCATAGCCAATGACGTTGAGCTGCATTTTGTTCTTGACCTAACATTAACTTAAAATTATAAAAAGTTAATGTTCACCTCTGCTGCACTATTTTGTGCAACTCACTTGGCAAGTAGTTAGGTGCTTTGTTTTCAATTGCATGGGCTTGAGTTCAAAGCTTAATGCATACAATATTTGCGTGAGTTTAATAAACAATTAGTATGGTATGTTAGCAAAAATGTATATTCCTACGAAAGATTAACTTATTTAGCATATCTATGTTGATCTTCATTTCAGAGTTGAGACATTTTAAGTACACAATCATAGTATTGGACAAGATTTTAAGTATTGTCTCTAATATTGAGGTGATAGGACATTTTTTTATTTTAATTTGAATATTTCTGCTTGACATATGCTTTTCCCTAAAATAATCAATCAAATACCCTTTTTTGTGCAAGTCTTTCTCAATCTCTATGTTATATACTTATAAAAAGTAAATGAAGGCAAGTTAAGCTTGGTTAATACCTTAATATCATTAAAAGCACCATCAATGGAGTTTGGCTATTTAAATTCCCTTTAAGACAGAATGTAATCAACGCCATTTTAGTATGAATTTCATTAATGAATCATTTACATAAAACAACCAAATCATTAAAAAAATTGATTATCATGAATTCTAGCATGTGTTGGACGATTTTAAATTGCTTTAACTTTATCAGTATCATTAGATAACCCATCAGTAGAGAAAAAAAAAAACTGAAATAATATAACTAGACAACGCTTTCAGATCCAGATATAATTGTTTAGCTTACAACTTTTCAGAAATTTTTGTAAAATCTAGTAATATATCCTGCTTAATCTTGTCACAAATTTTTGCATTAAAAAGTTTTCGAGTAAGGTTGATGATTCTCATAGAAAAATAATTGGTGCATTAGTTTCTTCTGAAGTTTACTATATTATAATCATTAGTTTGTTCTCATAAGATTGATTCATACAAACTATCTATAGCCTTTTAAAATAGTTATTCACCCTTATTTGATCTCACTTTCAGTAACCACAACTTAAATCAATCTTATGAGAAAATAATAGTTTCAATCATCATATCCAACATATCATCTACCTTATGTATATTAAAAAATTTTGGTCATGATCTTATTAATTACTTGACCAGTCACACATTCTCCAATTACCTTCATTTTTAGATATAAGCAATGCAGGTCAACACAATGGCTTATTATCACCCAAGTAAATTCAACGTGGTCGGTTGGATTCATCTTACATTGTAGTAATTAGTAATTAGTAAGTTGATGATCTAATAATCAAATCAATGTCATGTATATTTGTAAGGGTTGATAGTTTAACAATATGCATACTGAGATTAATCTTTAACTTCATAGAGTTATTTACTAACATCATTTGGCATATACTTTATTTGTCACATTATTATTTAATTCAATACCTGTAATGCATAAATCAATATCTCAACTCAACATTTTTTTTCAAGAGCATTTTTATTCAGGCTATGCTAAGATTTCTTCAATTTATCAGGAAACTCAATTCTTATAATGCACGACCTTCACATGTAGCGCGCTTTAAAACAAATCTATCCATTGACCATAAACACGTAAATATTACATTTCCTAAAGAGCGTTGCATCAAAATTGTACAATCAAGATCTATTCAAATGACATGTAACTTCATAGGTTAAACATAATTCCAGATCTTATCACTATGTGCTTAAGTTGAAACCAGGTTATAGAAATTGTAATTTATCTACTCAATGCTTCTTTGTAAGGTTGTGGTTTTGCTTTCAAATTCATGCAATCAACAAACTTAGCAACAACATTCGTGCAACTATACTATCAATACTATCAATAATATGTTTACGAAGTTTTTCATACTAAAGTTTGCTTGAAAGATAAAAACTATTTCAATTAAGTACAATTTTTAGGCTTGACAATGATGCATTACATGATATTTAAAGAGTTAAATTTAAAAATCTTTAGAATTACAGATCTTCTCGCTGAATTTGTGTGCATTATCTCTTTTAATTTCTCTCTTTATCTTCTTTATCAACATCAATGTGCAAATTTCCTTTATTACAAAATGACCTGTTAGATCACTTTTAAAATTTGCTTTAGTAGAATTGAAGAGTTGATGCTGTAAGAAAATGTTTTCCTTTAAAACCTTCGTTAACAATATTGTTACTTCATTTATATGATGTCGGTGAAGCAACTGAGTGTGAATGCTTTTGCAAAAAGATATATTTCCACTTTATGATGATTTCACCACAAAAATTTCTGGTGCCTAACAAGAACACGGTCTTAATTCTTACATAAATTTGTAATTCGCTGTTTTATGATCTTCCCTTTTCTCAAAAAAGTGTGGTGGGCTGGTCACATTCAAAATTCGATTAGAGTAGTCCAATGATAGTGGGCAATGATTATTAGGGCAAAGACCAGTACAAAGAACTACTCTTAGTAGACCTCAAGATGGAAGATGGGTAAAAATAATTATATATCTCACATCAAAAAAGGCTGACATGTTATTGTGTTATTCTAGAAAATGCTTAACCCAAAGTGATGCATGCTTTATTGTAGTAGTGAGACTTTTGTATCTTTGATGGGTGACTCGTGAGAAGTTACACCTCTGAGGATAAAATTGTGAATTTTAGTTTAGTATTGGTTTGTTTGTGCCATATTGGATAATAACCTATAGTTTATGAATGTGTTGTTACAAGTGATATCAAAACCAAGACTATTCTAGTACATTTGTAGTTTGAATACAAACCTGGCAGAGATTGTTTGTCTTATGACATTCCCAATCTAATGACGGCAACCTAATAAAATCTAGGCGCAATCATCAGCTGGGGTCTTCAATGAAGATCAAATCTTGACAAGCTTCTAGGTTTGAAGGTATGCAAGAATGTGCTAGATCCTACATTATTAATGGAGATATATATATATTTTTTTTTTGGTTAAACTAAAACTTGTACCTTCATGTGAGGCTCCCTTTGATCTCATACTAAATTTCATTTTAAAGTTTAGATTTTGACTGTTGTACAAATTTAAGTTCATTTTCAAGGCTGGATTTGATTTCTTTTAGTAATTCACGTTCTGAGGTGATACCTTCAGAAAGTGTCAACTCCCTAAGAGCTTGTTTTGGTTCACTTCTACTTTTTTGGCTTTTTTTTATTGATTTTAATTTAAAAACATGTTTGTTTGCTGCATTTTTTTGCATGTTTAATTTTTTTTATTTTCAAAAATAAAATTAGATTATTTTTTAAAAATATTCAAAACATCTAAAAGTTATTTTGCTTGTTTTAAAAAATAACTTAGCATGTTATAACATACTAAACTTGTTTTATTTAAGTAAAAATATATACAAAATAAAATAGAAACAAAAAATAAGGAACAAAAATCAAATCCCAAACAAGCCTTCATAAATTGAACACTAACATTAAAAAGGGATGCAGCAGTGAGACAACTCAAAAGCCTGCCTAACATGATGAAAAAAAGAAAAAAAAATCCGCTCTATTCAAGGTAGGGAAAACTGGGCAGCAGCAAGCACATCAGGAGAGCTCAACCAAAGCTACAATGCCAACCTACCAAGTTAATGAGTAATCTTCCGAACCAGATATTGGACTGAAACAAGGAGATGACATAATTTAAAACAGCGAGTTTGGAATGAATGAGCTTGAGAATTGAATCAAAGCAACTTGCCACTGTTAATCAAACTAATAAGAATCATAGAAATGATTTATCGAAGTAAACAAAGCCAGGAAACATAGAATTAGAACTGCTCCATAACCCAAATAAACAAACTACTTCGTCAACTCGCATCTGACATCCCCATTACTATAAACTGTGAGTCGTACGTTGTCAAATTGTTATTTGGAGCTCTATCCTTGTTTTTATTGGATGTGGTTGGATTTTGATCTGCTTTTTCTGGCACTAAATTTCATTTTGGTCGTTTTTGTTAATGATTGGCTGACTGTTATTATTTTGTTCATGTTTCCATTTTTTATTTGTGCTCTAACATGCAGCCTGGGCAGCTATTATTATTTTTTTGTTTCCTTCTTTTTGTTTTATGATTGATTTTGACAGTTTGATGTACTACAATTCTGATCTCTTACCATTGGTTTATTTATTTATGAGCTTGATGTTAAATGTTTCTTCGTATTATGTATGTATGTGCAGAAATATACCTCGAAGTGGTTTGATGCGCAACCTTCAATGAGATTTATTTGATCCGCCGCTCCGAAGATTTTCTTGAGGTTCTCTTCTTTTCAGTGATTCCTTTCCTACTACTACCCACTTTGGTTTTAGATCGAGACATACCATTATCTCTGCTATATATTTGAGACTGGTAAGGAAAACTTGAGGGAGAAGATGGGTCTGCGCCTGACATTTTGACTAATGGGCTTAGTATTATAGGAGTGAAGCTAAAGAATCTAACTTTTTTGTCACATTATCTGATAATAACTTTGTTTGGTTGTATAGGTTTCTAGGGCCTTGTAATATGAGCAGTATTATGATTTTTTTTTCCCACTTCGTTTTTTCCATTTCGGTTGTGAATATTATTGTAAACTCAGATAGTCTTTGTTGCTTTCACTAAATGGGTGGTTGATAATTTCAGTGTTTAATTATTATGCTTGCAGCTGTTTATGCTTTGAAAGGACTAAAAGGGCTGTGCGATGAGATTTGGGCTTATCAAATGTATTCAATTGCTGATTAATTTATGAATATTCGTTTTAAAAACTTGAGATATTTAACAAATTAAATAATCAAATATTCTGGTCATGAATGCAATTATACTAAAATTTTAGTAGGGAGCTTTCAGTTTAAAGAATTAGCTCATCATATAATATCAAGACTTGTGCCTATTGAAGCTTCTCAGTCAATGTTATTTCTAGCCGATTTATATTGATATAGTATTTTTCTCAGTTGGCGTCATTCATTTTGTATGTTTATTTGTGCTGTGCGCCAAACTGATTTGCTTAATCTTTTTCGAATTTTTTAGTGATTCGGTTAACTGTGCAGAATTTGGGCTTCAGCTTTCAAGCACTAACAATAAAAGGCTTTTGCTGCACTTTACTTTACACCACAAATAAAGGTTGTTTGGGTTTTCTGGTGGACTTGAACATGAAGCAAATGGTGGTTGCTTTGTGTCTGATTACCACGAGACCTTGTTCAAATTCAAAAACAGGACTAAATTGTAATAGTTTTATGCAAACCTTCAATTTTTTTATGAAGATTTTCCTCAAAGCTTCCTTTTTTTGAATGATTTAGGAGTTTTTTTTATTATTTTTGTCAGCGGCCTGAGTAATGCTAATTCATCGTTAATCCAAATTTATAGTTTTATAATATATATACATATTTTTTCTCATGATAGAAAAATCTATAAATGGCTCCCATAGGAGAATATTTAGATAATATTACATATAAAGCTTAAACAAATACACTTGCGAGGAAGACTTTTATGTCAAGTTGGAGAGTTGCTTGTGTTACTAGTGAGTTGCAAGAACAATTTAAACTTACAAGTTGTAATAATTCAAATAATTGCTTTCTTATTATGCTACCATGTCTCATGCTTCTTTAAGCATCATGCATTGATTAGTCGTGTCGGTCACTGAAGAATTTTGTGGGCTTTAACTTGAAACGTCTTTCCATGATAAAGTGGCCTTCCTTGTCAAGCTTATCTTTTGTTACTAATCATTTCATGGGGATAACCAATCTTCGTTGTACGAGACTATTTTTTTCGGGATATTTGGGGATGCACCATACAATCAAAAGCCTACATGTTTGCTCGATAAATTTCATATTCTGTTGAGCTTATAGTGTGTGGCCATGGGGTTGGCCTACTTCAAGATGGTTAATTAGGGTTTGGTACTCTTTTTAAAAGGTGTTTAAGTCGTGATGGAGTTGGTCAACAAATGAAATTAGGATTTAGAGCACAATAAAAAGGTCTATCTAGAGAAGGCAGTCTAACATAATATAAACCTCAATTCTGTTTTTATGAATTTACTATAGTAAATCAATCTGTTCTTTCGGAGTATAATTGTGGAAAATGTTGAATTAAAAATTTTGAAAGTAACCAAATTTTGATTTTTGGAGCACTTTTTGTTTTATTTTAGGATTTTCATAAAAAATTAGGTCAAGATAAAGTCATTTTGATCGACATCACAACAATTGGGGTTTTAGCTTAGATATTGAATTGGGGTTAGGGGATTAGGTTTTTAAAGCATGAAAATTAAAGGCTAAGTTTTGTTGTTTGAATATGAAATTGTTTATAATTTTTAATCGAGTTTGAATCCCCAAATAGGCCATGAAAAAAATTCATGTTTTGCAAAAATCCATACTTTACATGACTTTTTGTTAAGATTAATATAAAAATATTTCTAATTCACTTAATAGTTGGTAGAGCAAGATTATAATAAGTTAAAAAAAAGGACAAAAATAAATTCCTTAAACTAGAGTAGTGGTGGGCTCAAGGATTGGGCAAGGTTAAGAGATAAAGGAGTTTTAATTCTATAATAATAATAATGATAATTTTAGTCATATATAAATAAGTAGAGAATCTATGTCATTTTATTAAAGTTTTTTTTTTTTTGTAAGATATAAGAGAATCTATTATCTAATATACAATGTTTTATATGATTTAATTAGATTATTGCATGCAGGTGATCTTCATAATGTGAGGATCCGACAATTTTGACACCTTTTATATGTCGATTGAATCCATTATATGAAGTGAAAAATAACTAGATTAACTTGATTGAGTTAATGATATTTTAAATCAAATTTGTGTGATATTTTCAAATGTTTAATTAATTCAATTGTAGATATATTTTCTATTAATTATGATACTCTAGATGTATAGGCAAACCTTTTTTTTTTTTTCCTTTTTTGAGAAATAAGCAATATTTGAATGATTTTAATTGTTATAAGCATACTATGAATTCTTGTCTATAATATTGCAACCTTTGTCTGCTATCCTTATAACAACCAATCAATTTGAGTTTTGAAGTATACATTGAGGTTAACAATCATGCCCATAAATATTCTATAGCTTATTATGAATAGACACTTGGTAGGTAGGTTTCAAATTCATGTTGTATTCCCTTTAGGTTACAAATGTCTTAGTGAATTTTCTAAATTTTTATTTCTTCATTTGTTTTTTACTAACATGTCATGTAAGTAGATTTTGATATTGTGATTGTGTTATTATCTAAAAGAAATATTATCCATAAGGTGTTATTACATGGCACTAGCATTCATCTATGGGAATGACATTATTATGTAGTAAAATATATCCACTGGTGATGAAATTGTCATTCTCTTCATTAGTGAAATAAATTTTGATTTGTGGAAGATATAAAAAGAATCTTTGAAGTTAAGGCTAGTGTGGTTAGCTATCAAATTAATTAATTTGTAAGTTTTAGATGGCGGCTATGAGTCAGTCAAGCTAACCTGAATGAGTTCTTGAAATCTACACACATCATTCATTTCTCGCTCAACTTCTTGACCATCACCACATTTGACACACCTGTCAAGAAATTTGTTTTTCCTTAAATAAGATATCAATTAGAAACTTCTCAACCTCTTCTTATATCTTCTATGCATAGATATAGAGATTTTTTGCTTCTTTCACATTGATTATCTTTTATAACAAATAAGAAGTTGATGGAATATGATGTCATGGTTGATTATCTCAAAAGTGCCATAGAAAGAAAAATGAATAGATAAATCTAAGCATGCTTATCAGGTAAATAAGAAAAAAACGTTCATATATAAAAACTTCAATAAGAACACTCAGTTATTTTCTTGTTACATAAATATTTAAAAAATTTTTCTCGACTAATCATTAAAGCTCATATGAGAAGTGGTTGGAGAAACATGTTTTGTTGCATGTATTTAAATTTTAGAGAGAAAATCAAGTCTCCTTGCACAAAAGTCAGACCATCAAGTAGGAGTAAGTTGTGTTAGAAATAATACATCAATGTAATTGTTGTAAAATTATTCAAAAGTTTCCTTTTAAAATTGCATTGTTAGATGATGTACTCTGAAGTATTATAAAATCTTACTTTCATGAGTCAAAATACTTCCCACCCCTCCTTGTGAATTTAAGAAGGATCAACCCCTTTGAGATCGCTTTCTTCCTTAGAGTTCAACAAATTAACCTTGAGAATGTGTGGTAAGCTTTTCAAATGAATCATGTTAGATATTTTTATGTATCAAAGGCTTCAATTGAATTGGAAGCTATTCAAGTTTGATCTCAGGTAACAAAAGTTTATTTACATTAGCTCGAGCTCAATTCAAGCTTTTATGATAGTGAGTTTAGTTCATTAAGTTCATATTTATTTGAATATATTTTATTGTATGATTGTTTTAAAATATAAGTAAATGTTATCAAACCAAGCAAAAAAAAAAAGAGAGTCTTTAATTTAACAATCATTAAACTCCATCTAACATGATTTCACCTACTCATTTGAATCACTCGCTACTCCGCAGGTCCCTTATGTGCTCACACATTGGCACTTGAAATCACACTTTAAACAATACTAAATTAAATATATACATGCATACACACTTCTTAACGATTAGAAGAATATTCAAAGTGTATCCATATTGTAACTTATCCCAGGGGTCAATGTTGCAAACAAAAATTAACTCAAGCTAACACATTTATTTTTTTTTTGGAAAAAATAACACCCAATTCTATTTAAAGAAGAAATGCACATTAAAAAGAACTTACAACACAACTCCAATGAAAACCAAATAAAAAAAGGATAAAAAAAAATTCAAATGAAATCAACACTAAATATGTGCAAAAATGATGATTAACAAGAAGCATCAATTATCCACAAATTCAATTCTTCGGGTATAAAAAATTCCAAATAAGACCCAACATAAACAACCATCCAAAAGAACCATCTCCAATACCAACACTAACAACCATTTAAAGAAAGCTCAAAAAAGAAAGTTATCAGCTTCCAGTATGAGCCAATTTGAATCCTCAAGATAAAGCTCCAATAAACAAGTTAGCAACAACATATACTCAAAATGGATCAAAAGAACCTGCAAAATCAGACAAGCAAAATAAGGGACCCAAGAAATCACTGCAAAAACCAAAATGTAAAAAAAAGATAAGTGAAAACAAGAGTCCAACTAAAAAATCAAAGAAAAGAAAAAAAA